TATTCTACTGTATATAGTATTTTATTTATTCTATCCTGTACAGTTGTGTACTGTATTTATTCTTATTGTATCCTAATTTTTGCCTCATAACTTTTGCACTGTCCACTTCCTGCTGTGACAAAACAAATTTCCCACGTGTGGGACTAGTAAAGGTTATCTTATCTTATCTTATCTTATCTTATTTCATTTACATTTTATGGTTCATTTTATTTCCCCATGATCCTATTGGTCTCTTCCTTGTTAGAGATAACAGCACTGAGTCCATTCCATCTTTCTTTTTATGCGAGGCATTACTGAGAGTGCTGGAAGACAGTGAACTTGGTAAGATGTCTATGCTTTCTAAGTGTATTTTAGATTAACTGTATTCAAGTTTTACTTGGATAGTCACAGTCACCAGCAAAGCAGAGAAAAAAAGAGAAAAAAGCATGACAGGCACTAACAAGTTTGGAGTTTGTGAATGGATGAATGAGAATGATTGTGAGAGTTAGGTGAGAAAACAATGAAAAGATTCATCAAAAATAAAAAATAAAAAGCCCTTAGCTGACAGAAGCATTAGCTATTGTACTCAACATTGACCGCCACTTACTCGCTGTTTCTTAGTTTTTACCTATTTGAGCTCTTTTAACCCATTAACCCGAACCCTTGAGGAGCATTTTTAAAAATTCTGAAACAACTTATAGATAAAGCTGCTTTGAATAAAATGCAGAATTGGCAAAAGTACAGACATTGTATACCTAGTTAATCTATAGAAGTGCAGATAGTACTGTTAAAAAATACTCCAGTAAAAGCTGATGGACTGATTTTACTCAAGTAAAAGTAAAAGAATTGCAGGCTCTGAAATGTACTCAAAGTAAGAAAGTAAAAAGTATCTCTTTGGAGGACGTTTCTATTTTGTACAAAGCTTGTGCTGTATTAACATAATAATAAAATAACATTTGAAGATGGGAATACAAACTTAAGTCTAATTTGTTTATTTTAATTGAATTCAGCTTGAATATAAAGAAAAAGAAGGAAATTAAAAATAGATTTCTATTTCCTGTTGCTACATTGTAGAGGGTGTTTGCCTCTAAACAGGAAAATGTGTACAGTCAGGGGTTAAAGTTGATTCAGCAAGTGGGTGAACCCTGAAACTGGCTGTAATGGCTCAGTGTGGGGAAAAGAATCATAACTCACAAGAATTTCTATCCAGAGCTTTTGGTAACAAAAAGCTTTTCTTTTGTGAGACAAGATGAGCAAACTCAAAGTATACGTTTTCAAAAAATTATTAAAAGATTGAAGTTTCAAGTTTTGCACGGGACCATGGACTTCTCTGTCCAGTGGTCCAGACAGAGAAAGGGTACAACACCGAAGCAGTAAAAACACATCACGAATATTATTATTATTAGTTAAAATGTTGCGGAGGAGCCGTGGTATACTTGTCTTTCCCTTATTTGGCACTGGGTCTGGTTTCCAGTCCTGTAATTTTCCACTAGCCTGGTATTGGATGGGTGTGGCATTTTCTTGCAACGCTCTATTGTATATTATCCTGGAAAACATAAATGTGACAAAAGATTATGATGTTATTGTGCCATCTTTTGGGACTGCTCTGCATTGTGTCTGTTTTATGGTGAAAGTCAGTTTCCATGAAATTAAATTCAATGATGTGCCAATTACTATCAATGACAATTCATTCCAGAGTGAATTTGCTTTATTACCCACTGTCAGACACAATTACAGCTAAGAGTCACTGTTTTTATAGTGTTAATTATTAATTACTGCAAGGAGCCAAAGCATTATCTTACTTACTGTATTTCTCTAGTTACTGTGTTTTTTCTAGTCTTAAGTGACAGTATCTGGGAGGTAGTGATTGGGTATATAAACAAGCATCTTCTGCAGGCGTTCACTAATCTGCAACAAACTGCATCTACAAATTGTGGAACAATATCGTAAGATTTCTGAATGTAAAATTACATGGATCAAATTTAATAGAAAAAATTGGATTTTGTATAAATTTATTATCACAGTACATAATATCGCCAAAAGATTCAGAGAATCTGAAGAAAACTCTGTCCAAATGACATGGTTGGAAATCAGTATTGGAACGCTTTCAGAAATCACTGTCTGTGAACACAGCTTACCCTGGTCTTCCACAAAAGCATTAAAACTCATCATCGTGGAGAGAAGAAGCTGTATGTGAACATTATCCAGAAACGCTGCTTCTCTGCACTAAAGCTCATTTTCTCAGTTTAAACCTTTGATATATTTTCTGGATTCTATTGTGATTAAAATAAGAGTTCATGAGATTTGCGAATCAAAATATTTTATTCACTACTATTTATTTGTTTAATTCACACATGGCTTGCCCCGCAAACTGTGACACTGTTACACTTATACTCAAACTGTGAGCTCTGTGGACGTTCTTTTTGCTACAGTTGAAAGCATGATTGCTTGACCTTCCTATCAGACGATTTATATTGTACATTTGTTTTTCTCTACAGTGTTGATTTTAGTGAACTGCAACTGCTTCTTAGACTCAAGATCAGATCTAGGTGAGGTCCTGGTTTGTAACCCTCCTCTTACTTCTGACTTCACAGTTTAGTCTTTCTTGATAGGCAGCTCACCTACATCACTGCTGGACTGTCTGTGAAGTCAGTGTATGTACAACTATTGTGTTTGATATGTCACAGTGAGTGGTTCGGTCCATGGTTTGGTGGGAGAAAATGTCCTGCTGACGTGCATCTACACCAACAACTTCCCCCTCTCTTCTGGTACAAACAGGACAAACCTGTGTTTTACGTCATCGATGGCATGCTATCTGCTGAGTATCAGGACCAGATGTTCACAGGTCGAATACTGAGTTTTCCTGATCAGTACAAAGAGGGAAACTTCTCCATAATTCTGAAGAACATCCAGCTGTCAGAGAGTGGCTCCTACGACTGCTTCATCTCAATGGTGGGCTTAGTTCACCTCATCGTGTCAGGTTTGTAGCTCCCTCACACAGCTGTGCCTCATGTCATGCACAGCAGAATCTTTAAGAGTCACTCATATTAACCTGACTGATCCGGATCCTGTTTATGTTGCAGGAGCTGTCAATGCAACGACTCCTCTGACTCTGGTTGTGGTTCTTAATATTCTGCTTTCCTGTTGAAACCTTTATAAAAATGTCTCCTCAGCAAAATATCCTCCTGACTGTGTGTGTTGCAGTGGAGTCACTGTGATCTGTGATTTAAGTGTGTGCACAGAGTTGATGCTTGAGGGAAAAGCTGTATTTGTCCTCACAGCTCTGTTCAGATTGAAGATGTCTTCACACACTTTAGTTCATTCGTTTTTGTATAATGACGGCCAGTCCTGCATAACTCTGCTGCTGTCTGAACTTCTGGAATTATTTATTTTACAAAAATATAAAGGTACTACACCATCTAACATGCTATTTAATGCCTGAAGGAACCCGTTTTGTTGATGACCAAATACTGTTGTTATTTATGGTTTAGTCTGTTTCATTTTAATATGTTTTAAATTCCTGTTTTCTGCTGTAAATGTCAAGCACAGCTCATAGTTTGTCAGTGTTTAAAGTGCATTTGAGGAGTGTGATGTTCTCTCATTCTGTCTTTATTCATCTTTACACAGTATTTTCGGCTTGCTTCTGTTTCCATGCTATGCATTTCCCTTGTAGATCTCTGCTGTTTGCTGAGTCACATGACAATGAAAAAAACTTATAGATTACTTTTTGTGTGAACTGTAAAAAAATAGAATTTTTTTCCAGCTTTCATTTTGTTCTGGTTGCAAAGATCAAAAAATGTCTTCCACTGTCACTCTTCTGCAAAGTGAAGAAAAGACTGAGAATCTGGAGAAAGTAAAGACAGCCATCCTTAAGTCTGTAAGTAAGTACTGAAACTGAAACAAAGCCTGAAAACACAGTGGGGCAAGCAGAACAGACAAAAGACTCGTGGAAGTTAACCACAATTTATACACATAGAAGGGCAAACAGGGAAACAAGACACAGCTTACCTAAATCACAGAGGACAACACGAGGGAAGCAAAACTAATAGCAAAGCAACTAACTGTAAAAATAAGACAGGAAGTGAGATAAAGGAGGAAACACGGACACAGGAATGCAATACTGAGGGAAGACTCAAACACTAAACCAGCAAGAACTCAAGAAAAAAAGCAAGAGAAGTCACAGAGCACAACCCGGTAAAAGGACAAGGGTTTTAATAAAACGTTGATGATCTTTTTATGGCAACATGATGACATCAGTCTGTTAAGGTGTCACTGTGATGTTGTCAAATTGAAAAAATAAAAAGTGTGTTGTACAGCTGTTTCCATGCCTGTTAATATTATACTAAATATGTTTTCTTGAAAATTCCTTTCAAGGTGAACTTTGACCTTAGGCGCTAACAATACAGGTCAGGGTGAAACGATTATTACTGGTAATGTTCCCCAAGCCTAGTGTATTGTTGTTACGTTTTAAGGCAATCTATAAAAAAAATGTGTGGATAAAGTGTCACGATCCTGGGCCATGTTGGCCCAGTATTCTTAGTTCTCATGTGTTTTTGTATTCAGTTCCCTGTTTAGGTTCTGTTTCCTGAGTTGCCCTGTTATGTTGTTCCCT